CCCCGAGGGGCGAGGGCGGAGGCTGGCGCCGAGGGCGAAAGACGTCCACATGTCGAAGCGCGACCCCCCCCAACCCCCGAAGACACGGTGTGCAAGTTCAACCTCGCTGCAGCCACCGCCGACTGCAAGTTTTGGCCCCCCAGTCGCCAGCGGCGGCCGCCGAACACGCATGTCGACATGAACGACGTGTGCACGTTCGGTGCCGCCTGCAAGAACAGAAAGTGCGTCGGCCGACACCCCCTCGCCGGCCGCCAAGCTGGCCCACCAGGGCGAGCAGGACTGCAAGTTCTTCCCCCAACTGCCACCAACCCGGCAGTGCCCCTTCAAGCACCCCGACATGCCCCTCTGCCGCAACGGCTCGGGCTGCACGACGCCCGGCTGCAAGTTCACGCACGTCAAGGTCAAGTGCCGCTTCAACCCCTGCAAGAACCCCCACTGCGCCTACTCGCACGACGAGGGCCAGCAGGGCGGCTTCAAGGACAAGGTCTGGACGCCCGAGGGCGGTGCCGCCCACGTCAGCGAGCGCAAGTTTGTCCTCGAGGGCGAGGGGGATGAGAGCATGATCCCGGAGGACAGCGCCATGGGACAGGAGGATGACGTTGTCGCGAAGCAGGAGCTGATTACGTAGATATGAAAAGGAGGAGGAGGAGGAGGAGGAGGAACCAGCGAAAAGGGGAAAACAAATAGCCACTGTTCTCTTTCAAACTATGTCTCCTCGGCGAGAAAGGGCCGGATCGCCCTCGGGGCTGGAGGGAGGGGGGGACAGGAGAAACTTGGAAGATGACGAATGGGGAAATGGAATGATGAAAGAAATCCTGTTGTACCTGTACCTATCGGGCTCACGAGCCATGGCATTCAGCGGCGTTGGGGGACGGCCCGGCGATGGCCTAATTTTGATCTTCTGTCCACGTTACCCTCTGGCTCTGCCGTCTCTGCTGTGTTGTGCGTCGCGTGCTGCTACTCGCTGTGTGTGCTCTCTTTGACGATAGGCTGCCGTGACCATTCAAACTCGGGATGTCTCGAGGTGATGTGAGCAGTGATATATGACACTATACTGCAGCCTTCCGTTGAGCCATGTCATGCGATGCAGGACCAACCGAGGAGGCCGAGTGGCCGTGTAGCTGAGCCTTGTGGATGCTGTTCATTGCCGATTGTCAGTAGTGTCTGGAACCAAATAATACTCTACCTGTGTGAAGCAAGTCATCTGCCTTGTTTTATTGCTCGCGTCAGTTACGAGCAACATCCAGTTCAAACCACGTAAATGTATCCAAGAAAAGAGACACACATTAATCTTCATATTAATCATGTACGCATATTCCAATGATTTTGTGAATTGCTGTCTATTCGTACGTGCTAGACTCACCCTTACATCATGATCCACCACGAGAGTAGTCAACATCCCAGCAACCTCGCATCAAGTTTTGTCACTCAACTCTATTCTGTGGTAGCATGAAACAAGACATAATGAAATAAAACCCCATCTCAAGCCGAACCTGCTTGATTGCCCATGTAGCCGACGTGGTTGTAAAAATACATCCAGAACAGCCTTCACTTCTGACCCAGGCATGGCTCCCGCGCACTGTACGTGCCAAGACCACGTAGTCAGCAGGCACCTGCCCGGCTTGATTGGGTCGCTAAGGTAGCCGAGCTCCAGTGGATCGCGAGGTCAGTTCATCATCAAACGACACGGAAAGCTTAACTTTTTTTCTCTCCCTCCTCTTCCCCCCCATCAGCCGACTTTCGTCAACAGCATCCTATATCCCCTCCCCATCCCGTGCCTCAAACCATTGAGCTACTCAATGGTCCATAGACACGGCGAAGATGTATTCTTGTCCATGCTGAGAACACACCACTCCACCATGCTCTGCAACAAAGCCCTCCACCGCAGCCATGGCATCACCGCCGCAGCCGCGTACACACGCGTGGCCTCTCGGACCCTGATGACCGCTGCGCCGCGGAAGTCTCGGCCGACTTGTATGGCCTACGGTGCTACGTCGGTGAGCGTCTTTTCTGCTCGGCGACGTGGCCTCGCGACGCACGCCACAAGCGAGCCGCAAAACATCGCCGTCATTGGCGGTGGCATTACAGGCCTGACGACGGCACACTTCCTTGCCAAGTCGGTGCCTGTCGGCACTAAGATCACCGTCTATGAGGCGAGTGATCGCATCGGTGGCTGGCTAGACACTCAAAAGGTCGAGTTTGAGCAGAATGGTCAGAAGAGCGTCGTGCAGTTTGAGCGCGGCCCTCGCACTCTGCGGAGCTATGCCCGGGACACCTGGAAAATGGATGACCTGGTGCTCTTCACTCTGGTGCGTTGTCTCCTCCCGCTTGTCGCTTGTCTCGCGCATGTCGAGCCATGTGCTAACGTGAGGCCTGCTACAGCTCAACGACCTCGACATCATGCCCAGCTTCAGGCCAGGCGGCACGCGCTATGTCCGCATTGATGGCAACATCACCGCCGTCACGCCGAAGAACATGATCAAGCTTCTCTGGAAGCCCATGCTCAGGGGATTCTGGCGTATGAAGCGCAACCGTCTCGGCACCTTCGCGGACCGCTCTGATCAGCGTCTCCCCAAGGACATGTCTGTCGGCGAATTCCTCCGCATGGCGGCGGGCGAGTCTCGCACCGTCGACCAGTTCGCCTCGGCTGTGTTGCACGGTATATGGGGCGGCGACATTGACCGGCTGTCCATGCAGTCTGTCATGCCCAAGCCCTGGCACAACTACTGGCTGAAAGAGCCTCTTCCGCACCTAGCTCATCTTCCCGCGCATGAACTCGCTCTGGTGACGCAGCTTCTCACCGAAGAGGTCCGCGACATGGTCAAGCTGAGCCACCAAGGAGCGTTGATCGCCTTCCCCGAGGGCATGGGTTCTATTCCCAAGGCGATCGCCAAGAGCCTGCAGGACAAGCCCAATGTCGAGATAAAGCTGGGTCAATCCATCAGCAAGGTGGAATTCGACTCAGCTGCCCGCAAGGTCATGGTACGTTCTTTTCTGCTTCCTGTCTCTCTACCACCACCAACCAGTGCCTTTCATGATGAAATATTGCGGATGTAAACCTTTATCGTCTTGTCGGAAAAGCGCAAAAACGATGTCGAAATTTTCCGTTGCCTTCCTTCTGATTTGAATGGCTTCCAATCCTCACCGTCACTCACTACAGTATGACGAGCGAACGTTGACTGACCTCGTTCATTAGCTCTCCACTGCCGATGGGGCCTCGCCCGCGGCGTACGACAAGGTCATCTCCACCATCAACAGCAAGCACCTCTTCAGGCTTGCGCCCAAGCACCTCCCCGCTGCTCGCGTCAACCGAGTCGGTCACCATCACGGCCGTCAACG